ACTAAAATATTTCAATAAGTTACCTCTTTCTTCTTGTTCTAACACGTCACCTATGTCCATTAATTACATAATCTATTCAGGTTTACGAGCTATCGCTCCACGAAATGTACAGTCCGAGACATCGTGGTGGCTGGCGATCTGTTTAAAAAAGAATGATCGTAAATAAGATGTCGATTCTTGAACTGCTGATTTCCAATTGCTAATCGCTAATTGTTTTGTTTAGGAAACTGGTTGAAATATTCCATGCTGAGAATTCCATATAATATTGACTAAAGCGATTTTTTATTGATTTATTAATATCAATCTATGATCAATAATCTTGTCAATACACACACACACACACCAGATTATCAACCTACACCAATAAGATGAGTCAGTTAAACGGTCAAAGGTCAATTTAACCAAGATAGTTGACGAGAGTGTAAATGATACATATAGATTAAAAAAAAGGTTACGTTGACAACTGTTAGAACTTGTATAATCACAAAACTGCATTAGCAAATTAAAAATGAGACTAGAGGTAAGATTAAGAATCCATATAATTTTGATTCTTAGTATACTTACTACTTTGAAGTAGCTTGTCTCATTCTCCCCTTTCTTGAATTCCCCCCTCACCTAGTTGATGTATGTTGACCTAAATCTTGTTCTTAATGTTTGTAAACATACCTGAGACTATTATGAATCTGTTATAAATTATGGTCAGTATTGATTTTCTGGTGAATTGTATTGTACATAAATTTATTTTAAATTGTGCATCTTATCTAACGGAACCTAAAGCTGCCGAAATACTTTGATTATAGCGGTATATCATTAAAAGATGGTTGTCTTATTGACCGACTGTTGTTCGTGTACTCCAGTGATAATTAAATTACTGACGTGACAACTAGTCAGTCAGTCAGTCAGTTACAACGCAGAACTTCGTACGAACGTACATCAGTTTAAGTTACCATAGTGCATTAGCACATAAATGCAATTGCCATTTCAAATCCCATAGTAGTAGAGGTAGTAAAAGTACTAGCAATAATCGGAGAGATTATCGTTCGAAGATATGATTCCAAAAGTATGATCCAGTGAAATAAACTTTATAAGAGAAAGATAGAGGTGATGAGGGATTCAGAAGATTGCAACTTGAGAGAACACAAAGAGTGGATGCACCTGCGCCATTGCAAACTGATTTGAGCCATGTCATTCAAGGTCTCTAACTATCAATTACCATCATCTCGCGAATCTCAACTAGGTAGTCTACACTTATCAACATGACTCAATCCAGTTTTCAGTGACTGGACAATTAAAGTACCCAGCATTAAGCAACGGAAACTCAACATTCCACAAATGGACATTTTGAAATGACTAACGCTAACGTCAATTACCTTTCGTTCAATAAGGTAATAAGTAACATCGTATAGTGTTTGGTCCTCTAACTGACAATAATCTCCAGATAATCAAACAGTCGTTGACTGCTATTGGTTATGTAAATTTAGGAATATCTTATGATCAACTACATGTGAAAATTTGCATTAACTTGTCAGTTATACTCATTCATATATAAATTTTATGCTGATATGAATCGGCTGTACAAACAAACAATTTAATATTATCGTTAAAGAATTACAATTTTCTCGTCACACTGCAGCTAATTACGACATTCAATTAAAGTTTGAAGCAGTCGTTTTGAAATTTTCTAGGACAAAGTTCTAGCATATACTTATGTACATATATACATTGAATTAAGCAGACATATTAATTGCCTTTACTAATAATTCATTTTTCATCAGTCATCTGTACACTGAATAGGTGTCTTCCAAGTATCGCTCGTATATCCTAGGACAATCGAGTAAGCAATGCTGTCGTTAGGAAACAAGTACTAGGTAAGGATTGCAGGTCAACAGATGAAGTATTGGAACTTCATCAGTTGAGGTGGTTGGGACATGTGTTAAGTATACCTAACTATCGACTGCCTCGACGAACAATGTTTTGTGATGTAGGTATAAATTTGAAGAATCAAATCAAAACATGGCACAAATTCATGAAGTCACTGACAAGTGGACTGAGTCATGTTGGTAGGCGTAGACTACCTGGTTGGAGTCCACTAGACGATAGTAACCGATGGTTAGAAACCTTCAATAGCATGGCTCGAAATCGTTTGCAATGGCACAGGTGCATCCACTCTTTGTGTTCTCCGAAATTCTGACCCTCTAAATTCCTTATCACCTTTATTTTTCTCTTCTCAAACCTATATAACTGAATTATGCTTCTGGAATAATATCTTCGAACTCTAATTTTCTCCGTCACTGCTAATACTTCTACTGTCTCTACTATTATGGGATACGATTTGACGATTTCATCTCTGCGCTAATGTGGTATTGGCAAAGTGAACTGGTGTACATAAGTACCAAATTCTCCCTTGTGACTAACTGAACTGACTGATATTGAATATACATACTTCTTTTTATTGCCAGTTTGCTTTTAATTTTCCACTTGATACATTATAGAACTGTTTTAGAAATTGCTTGGAATAGTCAACTGAAAAGTTTATGGATACCAGTTTTCGAAAAGTTGATCATCAAACGTGGACGAATAGTGTTTACATTAAATCGTAATTTATGTCCAGAAAATGTGAAGCAATTCATTCATGCTCATATGAACTTGTCACGTAATTTATCAAGTTTGGAATCTGAATTAATCGAAAAATCAAATGGAGCTATTGGATTGTGTAAGTTTCTTTTTAGTGTAAAACATGTTTTTTTTTTAATATGGCAAGTATTTCAAATTTGAAATTGTTATGTCTTTTTTTTAATAATATTGTCATAAAACTGAGGATTTCAATAACTAATGTCTAAAATTACTTAAAATATAGTCACAAAATGTATAACTATTATGGCATTATCACATTCATAGAAAATAATTTTAACTTAAAGTATTGTCTCTCTAAATCTTATCGATACGTGTAGATATGTAACGCGCAACTGAAGAATAAAGCTGGCTGAAATACGTGTGAAACGTTTCGATTAATGACGTCCATCATAGGATGTTGCACATAGGAGTATTGGTTCATTGTGCCACGTTATATCTATTGAGATCTGTGAGAATTCCCCGATAAGTTTCCAGAAGTCAGAGGAAGTCTAAGAATATTTCTTATCAGAATTCAATGGTAACACCCCTAAAAGCTCATAAAAAGTTAATGGATTATTCTACTATTAGATTTAGTGCACTTTTTGAAGTTTCCAGACTGTCAAGGCTATCCACAGCTCATTAGAATGATAATTCTTCTACTCGAATGCTTGGCAATCACTTATCCATCTCCTAGATCCACAGAATTATTATATTCTTAAGCCCTAAACCATAGACATAAAGGAGTGGTATCTTATTCATAAGTTCGAATGGATTTCTCCTGTCGTATGACTTTTTTTATCCAACATGAAGACTTTTGATATCCACAGTCTGTTTGTGGTTATTCGTGTTTTTGAGCATTGTTACAGAGTTGAACATGATCCCGATTGTTCTTCCAAACATGCTTCCAGCTGATAACCTTCTGTCTAAGACAGTAGAGTATATGAATAACTTACTACTTATTAAGTACTCTATTAATTACTTACCTTGGAATCTTATCGCTTACCGTTTGTAGCAAAATTTGTTCAAATGAATCCACGAAGATTTCTGTGGATAATAAGCCAGTAAGAGTAAGTGACTAATTCTATTCAATTTTCAAAATGACTAGGAGGAATCTCAGATTTGTTGAGAACCATTATCCTTCACCAAAGCACTCAGCTTTCCGATACAATTAAACAAATTATTTAACTCAATAATTGTCTTTGCTGTTTGATCTGATCAATGTATATCACCAATGATATTTGACTTTCCATCAGAAGCTCTGTAAGTCGAATTTCGTTAAATAGACTAAAAGTATGTCGATGTTGTCCCGTGTTTTTCTTCTAATAAGCCTAATCTCTGATGCTGTATCAAGCCAAAGACGAACACAACCTACATTAATCTTAAATGAAACACACTCAGTCAATGGCTATGTGAGATATTCTGAGATTTGAATACCTTCGAACAAACCTTTGTTTGGTGGTGATGTTTTCTGTTTGCGAAGTGATTTTGTTGATGCTTTTTTTCCGGAAACGATGATAATTTTTAAAAGAGCGAATTTTTGCTTCTTAAAAATTTGAGCACTTATAACTGTCATTTCAGCTTTCGGTGTGCTGAAATCTTGTTACTCTTTTCTCCCTACTACACGGGCTTGCCGGTAACGACTGGTGTTTGCAACCTGTGAGGTACAACGTTTTAGTTTCAGCAATCTCTGTTTCTTACTAGTCACAGATAGTACTGGAGAAATGTTATAGTTTACTGAATATTCGTGTTCAGATATGAAAATCTTCAGGTGAATGCAGACTGAAGACAAACACACTTTTTCACGGTGCTGAAAACCTCTACACAACCACAGCTTAAGCCTAGTCCGACACCAGAAATAATAAATTTGGTTATCAGTGATACTTTTATAAAATGACTAGAAGTACACTTTATGTCAGATTAATTAAAGGAAAAGATAGTTATTGAATGAAAATATTTGTTCAGCTGTTTCAGGCAACCAGAAACCTTGATGAAGAATTCTGACTGTTAAGAGTACACAAACTTTGTGAATGTTGTTTTTCCACCACTTTTTTTTTCGAATCAAGACTTATGGATAATTTTCATTCGAATGAACAACTTTAATCGATATTAATGAGAGCTGTCCATTAGCTACTTTTTAAGAAAAATCCATTATACATGTTATTTAAGAAATTACATCTAACTTTAAAGAATCAATCTTATTTTTGAAGATTTACTAATTAACTTAACTTATACAGATGCCAGTGCCTTCTGATCTGAGAGATAATATAAGATTGTTTGGAATTCATATATCTCCTTTTCAACGTTATATATATTAACTTGTATGTCGCACTGACGTATTTGGAGTAAAAGTTAATGCATACTTACTGATTGTTCAAAAACCTAATAATATCGGTCAGATACTTGAATCTCCTACACAATGGTTGAATTATGTTTCAACTGTTATATCATTACTATGTATTTCATTGTACTCTTCTAAAGTTTACATTTTATATGCTAATACTTCTTTCCATACTTTATATTATTATTATTGCTCAAGGTCGAACGCATAAACTTAATTTGTCAATCAATTATGTTCATCAACGCTCTTTATCATTTACTATTATGAATACACCAGCTTGGAGTGATTTTCGTCAAGTACTACCTACAACTGTTTACTATAGATATATGTAAGCTATTTATTTGTAATGTTAATTTTGTTCTCTTACAAAAATCTATTTATCAGACAATTATTATATATTTCATGTTGAATTCCGTTAATGATTTCATCAGTAAAAATACTTAACGTATTTACAAGAAATAAAATATACATTTGAATAATCCGATAGCATTCATCTAATCAATTAGTCGCGTTCATATTTCATAGTTTAACTTAACAGTCATTAGTGTGCATTATAATGTAACGAGTGATTATAATTTACTTTCTGTTTGTTATGTTCTAACTACAGTGATACAATAATGCAGTTGATGATCGAGTTATATTTTACTACTAGATTAGATACTCGATCGATAGACTATATAACAGACTGGATCATGTTACACCTAGATACACAATTCACGACCGAATAAAAAACCAGTGTAGTCTAGACAATACTCTCAGTGTGTCAAGAGTATGAATCAATGAGAGGATGGTAGTCTCTCGCTGAATGACTGCATCAGTCAACCCAGACTTACTGGCCAATCAAATCTACTTTCGCTAGTAGTCACATATCACAACACCACTATTCAAATGAAACATGAAAATATTCGCTTACCTTATAGAGATGATTCGAAATGTATGTAGGCTTGTATTTACGGTTGATACGTTTCTTTATACCTCTATCTTAAAGTATGATAGTGCCGAGGCTTATTTAATTACCTAGTATTATGATGAAAGTTGTGATAAACTCATTTCTCAACAATTTTTCGATACACCTACTGTAAATACTGGTAACAATGAATTCCTGGTGTAAAGTTATTTTTATTTCAAGGCAGACAATTCTAAATTTAAAGATTGATTTCGTTAAATCCTGATAAATGATTACGAATTGGGTTTGTAGCGAAGTCTGCGTTAACTGCTAATTACGAATGATGTGAAATTATTTTAATACAAACGAAATCTACTGGGAACTCGATAATACTACATCTAATGCTCACAAGTCTTCAACACTGATCTCCAAACGATTGGATCCAGAAAAAAAGTAATAATCCAAAAATACTTGATACTCAACAAGAAACAAAATTAGTGTAATAAATGTGGTGGTGTGTCGTTCTCTCAGCAGGATGTTTCGGTTGTGGAGCTTTCATTGGTAGGATGGTAGGATGATCCGTTTATTGGTTCCTTCACTTGATTTCGCTTCTGTTGACGATTTCAATTGGTATTTTTTGACGAAGTTGCGTGGATAGCCGTTCTTTTGGAAAACAGTCAAAAGATGTTTTTCCTCGTTTTTTAGTGCTTCATATGTTCTGCAGTGTGTCTTCGCTCTCTTGAACAACGTTTGTGCGCACTTGTTTTCGTGAGTTCTTAGGTTGTTGCTACTGTCGTTGAGAATTAAGTCTGTGTGAGTTGGCTTCCGAAATACTTGGGTCTCCAGTTTTCTGGTGTTAGTTCTGGTGATTAGTACATCGAGGAATGACAGTCTGTTGGCCGATTCCTTTTCCATCGTGAATTTTATGCCATGTCAAATGTGGAAAAATTCGAATGCTTCACTTCTATCTGAAGTTTGTGCTGATGATGTTGTTCAGAAGAATAATGAAAGCTCCAGAACCAAAACATCCAACCCCGGCGAACGAAACACCACCACAATCATCCACCTGAGCTACAAATTTTCTTCACTATCTCAAACACATTCAGAAAAACTAGATGTTCTAGAATATTCTTAGCAGGTCTACATTTAAATAGTTATTTCTATAGCGAAAAACAACTTTCACATTGAACAATATTCACTTAGAATATAGGTAGAATATCCTACAACAGAGTTTTGTCGACTAATGAAAAGGAACTGCAAAAAATAAAGTAAAACTGTAGTCAGAGTAGAGTACTAGGATTAGCTTAAAAAACCACTAATAATTTTTCTGCTGTTTTTTAGCCAATCGAAAAACAGCTTATGTAAGTGGATAATTGAAGGAAAAGTAAACAGTTATTTTACAAATTCCACTTGATAAATGGATTAGCGTCTCCTACAGATTAATTTACAAAATCTACCATATGAATCTAGGTTGTTCATCTTATTGATCTCTTATAGGTGCTCACATTGTTCTTAGGTACTTAAGATTAGGGTTTCTTTTTTAGCACGCATTGAAATCAGCTACAACTTAAAAAATGCAGCTGTAGTCAAATAATGATATGATGAAGATATGAATCTTATTCTTTCATAGTGTATGTGACACATCAACATGTTAGTTTCGTCACTAGATACGCTTGAGGTAATTACGGCTATCCCTTAGTCGATAACGCGAACGAGACAATGAACCAGCATCTAGGCAGGCTACCTTGATCCGAAAACGGCAAAACAAAAGTCTTGATAAGCGTAGAAAGTGTATTCTACAAACACCCAGCAAGCACAGTACAATCAAGCACACAACTCTCGTTTATTTATACATCATAGAAACGTCTTTGGGACAGTCACAAAAATAGCACACTAGAATACACAGTAGCCAATCACAGCCATGGATTTTCCAGGTGGGAAATAAAATCTCAAGGTCAATTGAGCAGCCCATGATGGCTACCGTGAAATCCAAAATAAGGCATTTATCAAGCGAGTTCTTGGGATCTAATATCCCCAACATGATGATGATATTATCCTGATGAATAACACAAATTTCACAATTAAATTATCCAGATCGGTATCCACTGGACAGCTAGAATGCAGATGGACCATCTGCACTTCGCAGATGACCTGGCTCTCCTATCGCACACTCAACAACAAATGCAAGAGAAGACGACCAGTGTAGCTGCAGCCTCTGCAGCAGTAGGTCTCAACATACATAAAGGAAAAAGCAAAATTCTCCGATGCAACACAACATGCACCAACCAAATCACTCTTGATGGAGATGCCTTGGAGGACGTTAACACCTTTACGTATCTGGGCAGTATCATCGACAACCAAGGTGGATCCGATGCAGACGTTAGGGTGCGGATCGGCAAAGCAAGGTCTGCATTTCTACAGATGAACAACATTTGGAACTCCGAACAACTATCAATCAACACCAAAATCAGGATTTTCAATACAAATGTGAAGACAGTTCTACTGTATGGAGCGGAAACTTGGAGAACTACCAAAGCCATCATTCAGAAGATACAAGTATTTATGAACAGTTGTCTACGAAAAATACTTCGGATTCGTTGGCCAGACATGATCAGCAACAACCTACTGTGGGAGAGAACAAAGCAGACTGCAGTAGAGGGGGAAATCAGGAAGAAACGGTGGAAGTGGATAGGACACACACTGCGTAAAGCACCTAACTGTGTCACAAGACAAGCCCTCACTTGGAGAACCCTCAAGGCAAAAGCAAACAAGGAAGGCCAAGGAACCATTACGCCGAGAAATAGAGAAAGATATGAGAGGAATGAAAAAAAACTGGAAAGAACTGGAGAGGGAAGCCCAGGACAGAGTTGTTTGGAGAAAACTGATGGGCTGCCTATGCTTCATTGGGGGTAACAGTATGTAAGTGATTACAACACAAGCACACAGTATAGTTCTTCAAACCATTAGGTTTCTTTTTTTTGTTCTAACAGACTGTGACATCTTTGTTTTAAAAAAAAATTCACAACAAATATCATAATTTTACATTTAATACATATTCACACAAAATAATACAATGTTGACTGATTATCTCATTACTAATATATCGAGAATTGAAATCAACTAATGACAAACTATGCCGTTTTGGTATTTTCACAATGATTCTCTTTTTTTTGTTTTAATTGATATAGTAAATAGTTTTTATTTTTATTTTTCAAACTTCACATATCATCTCCTTTTTCTTTTTCTACTTTTCATCATATTTGTGTTTGGTGTTTGTTTTATCTAGTGGACAAGATGAACCAGAATTGATCATTGAAACAGTCTGTGATAAATCGTAAGTAGTAGTTAGTTTACTCTATCCAGGGTTCTGTTTTCTTTTATCGGGTATTGATATTGACTTAGTTTATGTTAGTTTTTGATAAAAAAAAAAGAGCACAACATGAATTGCAGACGATCGTATGCATACGCACACACACACACACACCAGAACACATACATAGAAAGAGAATGCTTAAAAGTTGCCAAAAATAAACGCAACCAATTTTCTTGATGTGAAAAAGAAAGCTATTTTTAATATTTCTTGATAGAAAAGTTTCTTAAAATGGTAAAGAAAATTGTGAGTCAGTTATGAAGTGTACCATCATAGAATAAAATACTAAGTTTGATATAAAAGTAACGTTTGAGATACTATCAAGCAATCTTTTGAAATTATGAAGTTAAACAGTGTATACAAATACGATATTCATCTTGTGTACTCTTGAACTTGTTAAATATATTTCAATTCATCTTATTCAAGTGTTTCATCGAGATTTGTTTAGTATGAAGTTATAAGAATAGATAGAATATGGTTAGCAGTGAGGTTCTGGGCGTGAATTTCATCTTATTTGTAATGTAAAGTCTAAATGTAATTGAGCGATCCTCATAGAATGACTAAGCGTCAACTAAGACTGATTGTGGTGGTGATTGGTTCTATGAGGTGAATGTTTTAGTTGTGGAGCTTTCATCGTTCCTCTGAACAACATCATCAGTACAAACTTCAGATAGAAGTGAAGTATTTGAATTTCTCAACGTATGAATGATAGGTCTATCATTTGTGGATGTACTAATCACCAGAACTGACACAGGAAAACTGGAGACTCAAATGTTTCGGAAGCCAATCCACACAGATCTAATTCTCAATGACAGTATCAACAACCCAAGAACTCACAAAATCAAATTCATGCAAACCTAGTGTTCAAGAGAGCGAAGACACACTGCAACATATACGAAGCACTAAGAAACGAGGAAAAACACCTTGTAACTATCTTCCAAAAACACGTCTATCCACGCATTTTCATCAAAAAACATCAACTGAAATCGTCCACAGAAGCGAAATCAAGTACAGGAACCAATAAACAGATCATCCTACCATATATAAAAGACATATCTGAACTTACAGCGCTACTACCATGACTAATTGGAATAGGTGTAACACATAAACCAACAGAATCACTTCAATCAATCCTATGTAGACTAATGGGCAAAATGACAAAGGAAGACAAACCAAATTTCATCAGCAAAATAAATTGATCAGACTGTGAAAAACACTACGTGTGACAAAGTGGACGTCCGCCTCTGCATGAACATCAATTAGCAGTCAAACGCCACAACATTTCTTCGCTTATTTGAATACATATGGACAACTATGGACATACGTTCCATAGGGACAATGTGGAAATACTGGATAGGGTGAGGACAAAGAACACAAGAGAATGTTTAGAAGCTTGGTTTTGAGGTCAATCAGCAATCAACAAACATATTGGCATTGACCCAATTTATCAACCAATCAGAAAAATCGTAGGCAACATAGGGTCAATAAAGTGATAAAGAGGAGGATACAATCAAAACAAAGGTGCAAACAACTACAGGTTTAAGATCAGTAGCGATCAATCAAGATCGATGTTACCAGAGCAAGCTACGAGTCAAACGTGGAGAAATTTGAATACTTTACTTCTATCTGAAGTGTTTGCTGATGATATTGTTCAGAAGAACAATGAAAGCTCCTCAACCAAAACATCCAGCTCAGAGAACGAAACACCACCACAAATCATCCACTTGAGCAACAAATTTTCTCCACTATCTCACTAAGTCTCATTACAATTTTGTCAAAATATTGATAACGGGATAATCCAAATCCCTTATTGAAAGCATGAAACTGTAAATGTCATTAATAACCTGTCTTTAGAAATTCTGTCCACTTAGTCACCACTGCTGAATAGTACGCAAGTATCTTATTATGCGTCTGTATAATTATTATGAACTGAAAAGACAATTTAATAGTTCTTAGTTTTTATAATCATTCCACCCTTCGAACTGTCATCAATTCCTGTAGTAAACAACTTAGTGTAAACATAAAGCTTATTACACATTTGAAATCATCAATCAATCCTTGTTAGAACCACCATTAGAAACCTAGAAGAAGCACTGAACGGCCGTTGCATCCTAGTATGGTACTCATCAGTGGCAGTGCTCATCCACGACTCCTGCATCTCGCAGTATTCAAACCCAGGACCTTTGATCTTGCTCGCAAACACCTAACCTCTGGATTGATAATTTCAATGTGAAATCTATATAACCCCAATTGAAAAAAATTAAATCTTATTATGTTACTATTTTTAATCACATGTTTTCAAAACATTTCGATCAATTCCCTGTAAACCGTTTAGTATTATTATCTCAGTTTTTTTGTCAAAATTTTGAAACTAGATTTTTTTTGTGTAACTAATATCTAGAATTATTATTTTTTTTCATCCTCATCAATATCATTTGTCAATTGTGTGTACAGGTTGACCTTGAAGAATCTCTGTTAACTTGAAAGTGAACATTTTAACTACCTAAGTCTGTAACAATTATACAGCTTAGTAATTAGAAAAATATCAACTTCGATTACATAATAATTTAATTCAGTGTATTGATTTGATGCCTGACGAAAGTTGATACATTCATCGAATTCAATGTTTTACATAATTAACATTCAACTAATCGTATTTAAAACTTTTCATAATAATAAGATTCAAATATATATGTTCTTGTGTGTGTACAAATGGTATGTTATGTACATTATCAGAATTAGTACAAAACAATTGAATACAAGTTCTGTCTTAATCATTTATTTTGTTGTAAAAACACAAATCAATAGTTTCATCAAGTCAACTAGTCAATATCAATAATTCTAATCATATTTACATAGTTTCATTGTAAAATCGGTTAGTATTGTTCTCATTTATCAATTAGAGTTATAGAGATTAGTGTTTTTACACATTTGAAATCATCAATCAACCATTGTTAGATCATCATGAGTAACCTGGAAGCACTAGATGGTCGTTTCGTCCTTGTATGGGACTCATCAATGGCAGTGCACATTTACGACTCCTGCACCTCACAGGATCCGTACCCGAGACCTTCGGTTTTGTGCCCAAACGCCCAACTTCTGGACCATTGGGTCAGCATCCAACTCTGATAGATCATTTAAATTAACTCGTATGATGTACGAGATATTTTTGCAAAATAAACAAATTGTTAGCGCAAAATAACGATTATATAAATAAAAACTTTGAATCGATGACAATGATCTAATGTCTCTTTTTCTCTTAATTTCATCAACAACACCCACTCTACCAGAAAACTGTGATTCGAACTGCCCCGGCAATGGCTAAACGAGGTCGTTTGTGTATAAATTTTGCTTTAATAATTATTTATATTGACACTTGTCTCGTTGCTATTGACAGTTTACCCAAAAACTTGTGTTACTTATTTTTCTACTGTGCAAATATTGCAATTAAACCTCTATCTTGTAGGTATTTTTGGACTGAATAATTATGAATACTAACCTTATGTACTCACATATTATAAAAGGCAATTCCTTTAAACTAGAAAACTCAAATGGAAACACTTCCCTCCTTTATCTTTTTAAAAGATGAAAAATGAACATATTGGGATCTATGAATCTTATACATAATGTTGTCGAAAAGTTCATATATTTCGGTAGTAGTGTAAATGTTGGTGTTGATGTTGGCTTGAGTGATGATATCAATTCACGTATAATGAAAGTCAGAATTCGAACCATCTTTGGCTTTTTCCTGATGTTAGTCTGGCAGCAAAACGTTGGGTCTACAATGAATCGATAGCAGTTTTGCTGTATGCTGATTATGAAACCTGGCCTCCTACTTGAGGATGTTAAGCTAGTCTTTGTGTTCAATCACCATTGTTTCCGAAGGATTGCTAACACTTAGTGATAACACCATCTTAGTAATTCATTGGTTTGACAACGCCTGTCTAGTACAGCGGCGATAATTTTATTTGTATCATTATCTTGAAACACCAACTTCGGTGACTTGAACATGTATTATGAGAATCGTCCTAGTTAATTCTTTTCCGTGCATTATCTGTCAACGCTGTGACAATTTGGAAAAAGCAGGTCTATATCCAGTGTGTTGTGTCGTGTCATGGCTTTTGTTGGTTCTTCACGACTCCCCAGTTGGGATCTTAGAAGGGTTGTGTGTGCAACTTCGTGACTTGAAACGCTATCAAATATGGCTCAAAATGGAAACCAGTAATGGATCTGTTATTAACTTTTTTTTTTACTTTTTTTCATTAAAATGTGGAAAACTTCATAAACAGAAAGGATACTTCTGATTGTATTTTTCTCAACTGAACTGATTCTTTTTACTTTTATTTATTTATTTATTATTTTGTTCACTTTCCTTCATCTATCTCTTCATAATATTATTTTTCTCACTGTCTGGTGCATAATAATTTTAGTGCCACTGCATTCAATTTCTCATGTGCTTAAAAAAATCGATAAGTATAGGAAAAAAAGATTGTTATTTCATTGAAATTGATGTGTAGCATCTCACCATTCATTCATTCATTCATTCATTGTACTTTAATAATTAGCCGATGCAATTATTGAATAATTTAAACGACTAATTATTAAAGTACAATGAATAAATGGTGAGATGCTACAATAGCACCCTTCCAGAAAACAAGAATAAGTACCTTTTTTCATTTAAGATGAATAATGGCGAATACGGACTGTGAGAATTTCAAATAGATCTTCGAATAACTGCAATATGAAGTCATAGTTAACAAATAGCACAGATATTGCTAAGATCTGTATTTGAGAGCATTCTATGGAAAAATAATTATTGTTGTCATTTCAGTAAAATAGGCATTTCAATTTCTTTCAGTGATTTGAATGTTCACGTTTCTCTCTACTGTACTTCGTTGTGCTACGGTTAAGATATTTTCACTAACCCTTGAATAAAAAAGTTTACCGTCAAATTTCAAGTACATTTTCTTGCACTGATTATTGCATTGCGTGAATTGAAAGCGAAAATTATGTCAGTCTCATTGGAAAATTTGTCTTTCAGATCACTGAAGGGACAATATGACATATATGGGCGTTTTTCACAGTTAAAATCATGAACTGTTCTTAATTAGATCACCATGTACTCACTAGTGACTAGCTTTGAAAATATCTTCTTGTAAGAAACCGTGACCAGTGGAGTTCAATATGCGTTGGGTGTAAGGCAGCGAATTGTGAATTGATTGAAGTTAGACATTAATATCTTTGAATCATCGGCCTAGTGATTTAGAGGTTAAGTGTTCGAACGTCCTGAGTTCGATTCCCGCATGTGAGGTTTCGGATGTGCATGGCTCAGGAGTCCTAAACTAGGACATAACGACCGACGTGGCTACAATGTTGCTACCAGCAACCCAGCTAAGACGAGTACACGATTTCGACTATGAATATAAAGTCTCTTAAATCCCCTTCAAAATAAAGGTTTCTTGAATACATCTATGTTATTTAATTTCTTTATTTAATTTCGCTAATATATGAACTTATTTGCGATCCTCACCATAGCTGCTACCTTGACGTGGTGGTCGGGCTTGCCTATCGTGATGACCCAACCGAGCTATATATTTTCTGAAACGTATGTTCATGAAGGTTCTACCATGCCAGGCAGGTCGATTGGAGAACGATAAGACTAAAAGCAGCTACTCAAGGTCTGAGGGTGCGCACTACTTATAAGTAATATATGACGCGAGTAAAAACGTAATGTCTGGCAGCAGAAGGTGGGGGAAGATCAAGAAAGGAAGAGCGGGAACACAATGGAATTTGTATGAAATGCATGAACAGTGAAATGTCAGATAATGGATTGATGTTTGCAACAGTAACAGTCCAGTTCGATATGATTGATTGATATTTTGCAAATTAACGATTCACGATATGGTTTTCCTATTTTACCAATTAACTCTGTAATTTATGATAAACACAATTCGGTTGCCCTCACGTGTGTTCTCCTTCACTACAGTACTGCTGACTGCAGAGGGGTGTGACAGCACTAAGGTGTTTCCCTCGGACAACCAGCATCTGCAGCAATGCTGCCTTCTCATAAGGATGGAACGGTTAGAAAAGGTCGACCCTAAAAATGTCACACCTCACCCTACCTCACTGATTTCTGTTTACGGCGGTAAGGGTGCCCACTAAGAGTTTTTAAGAGCGAAGCTAATACTCAAAAGACCCTTCATAAAAAGGCCGTGCGTGACCGGCCTCAAGCAGTTGTCCCTTGGACTCTGCGGTCACGCACCCAGGTCTCTAAGACCAACACTAATCTATCTTCCTTTTCAGGTCCCTCAAGAAAAAACCTTCCACGGTGTGGGCAGCCAGGAAGTGACAACCGCCTTCATACTCGTAACAGCATGGAAGACCGAATTTGTGAAAATCAAATCCTTCCTACCTTATTTGCAATATTTGTGTGAATTCAAACTTGTTTCAAATTTCAATATTATAAACATTTCCTAAAGTTTATCAATCATTCTATGTTTCTTAATTCTCTATAGTTGGCATATACATGAACCCAAATGTCAAAAAGTAATAGAACCTACAAGATATTCGGATTTATTTCATGGAATGCTGCAATCTAACAGTTTAAAGCTTCAATGTGAAGTAAATTATTTGAATCCAGCACAACGTTATCAAGCTTATATTGAAATACGTACAATGTTCAATTCAGAAGGAGCATTGAGTCAAGTATTTACTTTTCAAACAAAACAAGATAGTAAGTAGATAAAAATTTTAATAATATCTCTCATTACTCTGTAGATTAGTAATTTTTGTTCATTTATAGTTATGAAATTTTTCTTTTGGTTCAAATTTTCCTCTTCTATCAGTTATTGATGTTTTACTTAGCTGTAACAACCTGATTTCATACTATATGAACTGTTAATAAATTTGTGTTACAGTTAGTAATGAAATCTGCTAAGCATGTTTCGTCCTACTTGGAATATGGTAACTGCATATATTTGTTGCTCCCGAGTGTTCCTGTTCATATTGTAACTTCAGTTCAGTACCTTTCACTTCAAAAATCAATATGCTATCCACTGAGCTGTTGAATATGTTCAAATGCAATATTTGACATCAACCATAGGAAAACTAGAACCTTTGCATTTATACATGAAGTAAAAAATTATTCAGAAGTTTAAATATGCTCATAGAGTTATGGAATACATAGTTCACCAAAAAAATTATATTAGCCTCACTCGCTTTATTAACTGGTGGTCAGATAATCATCAAAAATGTTTCTAACAGACATTTTGCCTCCACTCCTGATTCTTTTGATTGTTGGTGGGTTAACATTAATTAGAAAGTCCGTAAGGGTAAGTTTCATGGGAATGGTCTATCCAAGAGTTCTTTAAAGTATTCTACCTACCTGTTTCTCTGTTCTTCAATGTCATTGATTGCTTTGCCTTGCTTATTCATGACTGGTCATTCTGGTTTACTATATTTTCCAGCAAGCTTTTTTGTTGTATCGTATAGTTGTTTCATGTTTCTTTTTCTTTCAGCTTTTTCCATCACTATTGCTAGGTCTTCCACGCATTGATGTTTATCAACTCTAATGATCCTCTTAACTTGCTTGAGTACTTCTGGGTTTTCAGCCTACGCCTTGACTTTGTCTGTTCTTGTTCGGCCGTTATTGATTATTGTCTTTTTGTTCTTCCTTTCTTAAATCTTACCCAGTGTATTACCAGTGATCTATTCTTTATGATGGCGCTTCTTGTGACTCAATACCTCCTGGCGTGTTAAGGTTTTTGCTCCTTTGATCCTTCTGCAGTTGTTCTCCGTGTTAGTTTACTCTACACTCAGTAAATCATGAAAGGCTTGGAGCTTATCACTGATAACTATCTTAAATTTGTTGAGTTTGCCAGTATCCTGGAGAAAGGTCGTATTTAACTTTTGTTGCTAACTCTATCTACAACCCTCCTTCTTTATCTGAACATGGGACCGTCAGCAACCCTAGAGTGGCTCCAGTTGAAGTTACTTCTATATAAAGAGATGAAGTAATCAAGGGGAATGTCCGAATATTATCTGTGTCAGTGATAGTTAAATAATATTAGGTATAGTTAGTATAATCCGAAATGAATAGTCAGATTCAAAAGATTTAAAATGTACAAAATATTTTTGAAACTCAAAATGTAAGAGACTGCATCTGACTCATTACGACTGACTTTATGCCATAGCATTAAACTTGTCCAACCATTGGTTACGATCATCGTGCTGGTACCAACTAGGTAGCATACATCTACCGATATGCTTCAAATTATCGGTCAATAATTTTATCGACTGATGACACTTTTTGGTATGACCTCCGTCAGTTTTCGTCCAAACTTTTTGTCCTCATATACCAGCCAACATAGCGTGCTGGCTAGAGGTATGTAACAAACATCCCATCTAGTTCAAAATGTGTCGAGAACGACAGCCTCATCAACTGATTTTCCATCTTTGCGTCTACCTTTAACTTTGCTCACTCGTTGATCCTAACGCCTCTGATCGGATACTAAGAACCTAAGAGGGCACTCTACTTCGAGAAACCACGTTTCACAAGTGTACTTGAAACAGAATGTACTGCTACGTTTTTTCGTCGCTTTTATCCTCATTGGCAAACAATTGAATTTAAAATATTTGACAATTTCATAGTTCAAACCATGTCCAAGGGTCGTTTATACTTATGATTCGTTTTTTTTTTTAAATGTTTTGAGCATATGAATAAATCAATCCTAAACTAAATCAATCATTTTCATAACGTGCTTTATTCTGATCGTAAAGATTTGTTAAATTTTAATCATCATTAGTGTGTTTATATATATATTGTACTACATTCGTTAGTTTTACTTTGTCTAGCAGTGACCAGACCAAAACATGGTACAAATCCATGAAGTCACTGACAAGTGAACTGACTCATGTCAGTAAGTGTTGACTACCTGGTTGGGGCCTGCGAGATGATAGTAATCGATTGTTAAAGACTTTGAATGACATGGCTCAAAATCGTTTGCTTTGGCGCAGGTGCATTCATTCTTTGTGGTCTCTCAAATCCTAAACTTCGGAGTTACTCATCACCTTTATCTTTTCCTTTTTAAGTTTATTTCACTAGATTCTACTTCTTGAATAATATCCTCGAACCCTAATCTCTTCGATTACAGCTAATACTTTTACTACCTCTACTAATATGGTATATGAATTGACAATTACATCTCTCTGTGTGCTAATGTGGTATGGCAAGCTGAACTGATGTACTTACATGCAAAGTTCTACGTTGCTGTTGATGATGATGATGATCAATAAACTGAACAGAAGTTTTCTATCTTTCTTCCTTTCCTTCATTTTTACAGAACCAACTAGTCCAACTGATTTTCATGCATTTCCATTAAATTCTAATACAATACAATTATTATGGAATGTTCCAGATCATTCAAATGGTCCTATTGTAGAATATCATCTATGGTATAAACGTTTACTGGTAAATAGTTCATCATTTAATCATTATGATTTATCTTGTACAAATGGTAAGTAAATTCATGAAATATTCATTTTTTCAAAATAAATTTTTGTTTATATAAATGAATGAATAAATGAATGATTTAAATTTCCTTTGCTTTACTTTTGTCTTACTTTGTTGTTGGGGACGTTAGATCACCTAGAACTCACTTGGAGAAGGTCCTAATTTTGGATTTTATATTTTTGAGCACGAGTTGATCAGTTGACCTTGAGATTACATTTCTAATCAGGAAAATCCTTGACTGCTATTGGTTGATGTAGTATTTTAGTACACTATTTTTGTGGCTCTCCGAAGGACGTTTCTATGGTGTATAAATAAACTCGATTTGTGTGCTTGAGGACCTCATATTTTCTGGGTGCTTGTAAAATACACTTTCTACGCCATATCAAGACTTCTTTCTTCAGTTGGATGAGGTGACAGACTAGAGTAGCCTATCGTGACACTGGATCATTTGTCTTAGCTCTCGTTTACCGACTAAGATGAACTCGTAATAGTTTCAAGCATATCAATTGATGAACTTAACATTTGGCGCTCGTGAGCAATACCTAAGGTCCTGGGCTCGAATCCTGCGGGGTGCAGGAGTCGTGGATACGCACTGTTGATGAGTCCCATACCAGGACGAAACGGCCGTCCAGTACTTCCAGGTTTCTAATGGTGGTCTAACAATGATTGATTGATGATTTCAAATGTGTAAAAACACAAACCTCCAAATCTCTGCCCGAAAATAATCATAATAGTTTGCTTTTTAAAAAATATATGTATATATTCACTTTCAGATTTTTTCAAAGTCCACCAGAAAACAGCAAATATTCTCATTATTGAACATGGAATTCCTTAATTCTCTCTATCGTTTGATTGTGATTTTATTTGTCATGTTGTAAGGAAGTGGAAAAATCTTTGAATTTTACAATAATTAAATTTTGATTTTAACTATTGTCATTGCAAATCATACATTCAAAGTAATCAAATAATAAGACAAATTATTGAACACTGAACTTAAAGAATCTTTTTCTCAATCATACTATTTCACGTATTGAACTTCCAATATCTACCATTAGCATATATGTAACAAACATCATAGTCCTTACATAGACTCACAAATGTATTTGATGTTTGTATCTGACCTTAATATTTTGTCAATTGATTATGTAATCACACTCTTAAATAGTTTTTTTGGAGACAATTATCAATCAGAACTTGAATTTTTCTTCTTCTTCTTATGTCATCTGTAGGCGTGTCCAATAATCATGATATATGATAGCGTTTACTTAGATCATGAGTTTTTAATGGATTTCAATAGCCACATGTTAATGTGGAACTTCGAAATGTTACTAGCTTAGTCTTGAACTAAGATAAATTAATTATAGATGCGTTAACACAATTTATTGAGTTTTATCGAAATTATGAACCGATTTGAGTTAGACTACTATCGAAGAATTGCAAGCACTGGAATGTCATTTCTTTCTGGTATGATACTCTTCAACAGCGTCCATCCACGACCAAACTACTAAAAACCCAACGTAAAACCTTAAGTCTTAAATGTGAATGCTTAGCCTCTCGAAACTAGTCGCTAATGGAGACATGAGAATTTCCTTAGTTCATGTGAAAAACTGTGAGCAAGTAATTCAACCTTCGGGTATGAGGAAGGTACCCACCGACGACAATGGATGATCATGCAATATTATGGATTAATTGAAGTTGAACTTGTACGCCTTTGGATCTCATATCAGTCACCTGGCGGCTAAGTATTCACAGTCCAGACTGAAGATTCTAGGTTCCGTTCCCAGTTGTTTGGTCGTGAATGCGCACTTCTAAATAGTCTCATACTAAGCAGAGCCTGTTTAAAGATGGACTAGTTAAAATCGGATGGTGATTTAAATTATGAAAATTCTACAATCCCAACAAATTCCCACATACTACTACTTGTCTATGTTTATTATTTAAATAAAGCCAATTCTTGATAGTTATTTCATCAAATAATTTTATTCCTATCATTTGCTCATTATTCTCTCTATACAGGTTATTCATCTCACTTAATCAGCTTATCAACTACTACACATGTAAATACTATCAAATATAATCAAAACATATCTCAACATTCAATGTCACATGGAAATTTTCCTAAAACTATTAAAACACTATGTTCATGCACTAGTTGCGCTGCTCTTTGTTTTAATCCATCTATACGTCTATCGACTATGAATACACGTCAAAGTAAAATGTTTATTGGAAAAAATAATCATCATTATGCTGATTATGAGAAAACAACACGAGCTGAACGTCTTGAAATGATTCGTTTTGAAGATTCTTTACAAAATTTACTGCTATTTTCTAGAAAGTAAGTTCATCCGTTGCATTTTTGTGTTTAGCCTTGATTGTGTAACTCATCTATTTTGGAAACTGTCTTATTTAAAACTTAGGAAAACAACAAAAATCTACTCAATAACTTTGATCAGAATTCTAAACAGACATATCTGTTTACCAAAATTATTTTATTTAACTGCTCATTGTATGATAAGAACTTGTGGAAACATATTGGCTTATTTATAGTGCCTTTCAAGGACTTGCTATGTTAGCTTCACCACAAATTCACTTATAAAAAGTGAAACTTTCTTCCTACTTTATTTCTATAGTTATAATCTCTTATGTTGTAGATCAACCTAACGTAAGTAGTGTTCACCAGTGACATGCATGATGTGAGCACTTGCCAAATGTACAACTGCTTTACTAATTGATATCTGTATCTATAAATATGTTAATCTTTCGACTGATGTAAGGAGTGTAATTACTGACGACCAATGGATCTACCGATAGATTATATAGTATTAACTGATCTGATCTACTAATGACTATTACAGTAAATCGAATTTTTTTATGCTCGTCACTTGATATGCTCGAAACTATAACGAGTTCAGCTTAGTTGATAAACGAGAACGAGGTGATGAACCAGTGACACGTTAGGCTATTCTAATCTGTTGTCCCCGTCCCGGCTGACTATATCAAGAAGTCTTGATATAGCGTAGAAAGTGCATTCTACAAACACTTAGCAAACACAATGAATTCAAGCACACAAGTCGCAGTTATTTATACATCGTAGACACGTCCTTGGGAGAGTCACAAAAATAACACAGTAACCAATCACGGCCAAGGATTCTCCCGGTGGGAAGGGCGATCTCAAAGGTCAACTGATCAACCCATGAATGAAATCTAAAATTAAGGCATTTATCAAGCAAGTTCTGGGGATCAAACGTCCCCAACAAGAATAAACTCTCAGTTAGAGAGAATATAATAATTGTGGTGGTGCTTCGTTCTCTGAGCTGGTTGCTTTGGTTGTGGAGCTTTCATTGTTCTTCTGAACAACATCATCAGCACAAACTTCAGGTCAAACGTGGAGAAATTCGAATGCTTCACTTTTATCTGAAGTTTGTGCTGATGATGTTGTTCAGAAGAACAATGAAAGCTCCACAACCAAAGCAACCAGCTCAGAGAACGAAGCACCACCACAAAAATATAATAAGCATCACTCGCGTATATACTACTCATATATATACAGCGATGCCAATTAAGAATGTAATATACAAATAAATTGCAAGTTTTCAGTAGCAGATACCTAATAAGTTCGTCTACTTTCTTTGTCCTTGTTCACCTCTTATTCAACTCGTTATTTGTGTATTGATTTGTGTATTTTCGTAATTATTTTCCCTCAACTATTTTATTAGTCATTTCCAGTTTTGTACATTCCTTTGATCTTCATTTAAGCTCCACAGCTTCCATATATTTGTGCGCACCTTTTTGCTTATTGATAAGCTATTGTTAACACTAAACACAACTGCGAGCTACCAATTTACGCTATTGTATGTTGTTATTAGAGGAATCCTCTCTCTTTCCTGACCTACAAACGCGTTGATTAACGTGAATACCTCGTCGGTTGAGGTTTGTAACCAATCTATACATATTTCTAAATTATAGAAGCGTTCTTTAAACAAATCATTGATTTTTAAACTTTGGTTGTACTCGTATTGCAGTCATATATTGTTAAACGCTTTGATAGAATCAATGATACCTTTATATCAACCGATCTCTCTAAGTCATGTACTGTACACATCACTTTAATCCTAATATCATCCTAGTTAAAGTAGTACCGGTTTGGAATCAATCTAAGCATGATCATTACTGCAGTCCATCAAATCACTTCCTGCCAGTCTGAATCAGATAAAAAAATATACCGATCTTCTTTACCTGGTCGTCATATATTTCTTAAAACTAGTTTCTTCAAATACTCGTAATTATATACAATAGAACATATATGTTCGTTGTTTCTTTCACACACACACACACTCTCTCTCTCATGCTCTGTACTATTTCTCTTTTTTGTTATTCCTTTTTCTATAAATGTTGTGTGATCTAATTCAAATGTCTTTGAAAAATTTAATTTCTATTCAGTAAATCACCTGTAAAGATTCGCGGAAAGCGAAACATCGAAGTTGAAGATTTGAACAGTGAGTTTTTAATGAGATTAGTTATTATACCACAATAAATTTTAATGGATTATTTCTTTTTTTTAATGTTCATTGTTTTTTCGAAAAAAAATATCGGTCTTAGTGTTGGGGATGTTAGATCCCCAGAACTCGCTTGATAAATGCCTTATCTTGGATTTCACGTTTGCGAGCATGGGCTGATCAGTTGACCTTGAGATTTCATTTCTCACCAGGAAAATCCATGGCTGTGATTGGCTGCTGTGTATTTTAGTGTGCTATTTTTGTGACTGTCCCAAGGACGTTTCTATGATGTATAAATAAACGAGAGTTGTGTGCTTGATTGTATTGTGATTGCTAGGTGTTTGTAGAATATACTTTCTACGCTTATCAAGTCTTCTGCTTTGCCCTTTTTCGGATCAAGGTAGCCTACCTGGACGCTGATTAATTGTCTCGTTCGCGTTTATCGACTAAGTTAGACTCGTAATAGCTTCAAGCGTACCAAGTGACGAACATAACACTTAGTGATTATTCTTAGTATGGAAGAATTTGTGGGGATTGCAGAAATTTCATATTTTAAATGACAAACTGATTTTATCTACACCATAACCATCCACCTGAGCTACAAATTTTCTCTATTATCTCAAGACTACTATTAAACACCTTAAAGCAGTGGAAGACCGTTTCGTCCTATTATGAGACTACTCAGGAGTGCGTTACTACATCACACAAAGGAGTCGAACCCAAGACTTCGATCCCATGTGCAAACTTTAAATCTCTAGTTCACTAAATTGACATCTCATAGTGTTATCTGTTCAATAAAAATATACAAACGTTTCTTTTAGTAACCATAACGATTGCTGCAATTTTTGAATTTTCGATTAAACAAATAGTTTTTGTGTGTTTATGTGTATGTACGTCATTAATTTTGCGTGTACTCATGATACATACCTAGATCGTGGTACTACTACCAAGCATAAAATATCATAATTTTAAATTATATATGAAGTTTGTATTTTCGCAAGTGATTATTTGTTGGTAAACTGATTAATGGAAAATATTTGAAACTCTTGTTTTAAATTATATTGTAGTTGAAGTACCAATGTAGTATGACTTTCGTGATCGATCGCTTCGGTGTGCATATATTGTTTCTCTAAATTTTAAGTTTTTATTTGATTTTATGCTTCTAATGCTCAATTTTCATGTACTGAAATCTACCTGTATCCTGCGTGTTTATGTTCTTTTTCAACTGTCATTTATACCTTTACTTGTGCTCTTTTAATTCCGATATTTTAAACCGGTTAACGTGATTTGATGCTAATGTGAACATAAGCAATTCTCAACCCGGATGCAAAATTATATTAGGTTCTACATTATCTCTATAACTAAGTTTCATTACTACACTACGATGCGTGGATTGTTTCACTAATAATTTATGCCTTTTGGTTGGTGTAAATTGCTTTAGTCTTTCACTGTTGCTGATACAATTTTTCGAGAAATCACATACACTTGTCTATGTTATGTTCGTCAGTTGATATGGTGGAACTGTTACGAGTTCACCATACTCGGAAAACGAGAGCGAAGACAAATGATTCAGTGACACGATAGGCAATTCTAATCCGATTGTTCCCGACCCTTCTAACTATAGGAAGAAGTCTTGATGAGGCGTAGAAAGTGTATTCTACAAGCACCCAGAAAATATGAGGTTTTACATGAACACAAATCGAGTTTATTTATACATGATAGAAACGTCTTTGGAAGAGCCACCAAAATAGCGTACTAAAATACTACATCAACCAATAGCAGTCAAGGATTTTCCATGAGCGAAAACACAAGAATCCAAAATTAGAACCTTTATCAAGTGAGTTCTGGGTATCCGATATCCCCAACAGTCTACTAAAACAATCGTTGTACTACATCCCTACAAACAACACTTATACAATAAGAATTTTCTATTTCCTAAACATTTAAATAGTTTCATAATATTTCGGATATTATTTTGAAAACGTTTTATCTTTCCGGTTATTAATATGCATATACATTTCATTAAAATCATGAAACAGTTCAAGTTAGATCACTGTCTAAAACCTGGAAGCGCAGGCCGGCTGTTTCTTCATAGTATAAAACTCTTCAGCCTGTGCATCTAAGGCTCTGAACTTAGTAATCAGACTCAAGACTTTCAGTCTCACGAAGGAATGAGTACCTTTTAGCCCCCTGAGCTAGTATCTCACAGTATGAACATTACTGAATTTCATCTCAACCATGATACGATTTAAGTGTAAATTCGTTTTGGTTCCCTTACTAGGGCGGAGTGGCCGGCCAATGCTTTCAGATTATCAATAGTTTGCTAACTTAGATCATTTCATGATTCGAATAAAACTCATTTCTCTCCATAACTCTATACTGACACTCTACTTATATTGTTTGAATTTCAGCTTTACACTCTATGAAATTAAAACAACGTGATTTTGATCATTACCCATTTAAATGGGATGGTCATTTACAAATCAATGCTACTATAAATACTATTGGGACTGATGAATCAGTTAGCAGTAATACCATAAAAGAAATATCTATCAATGGATTACATCATTATACAGAATATTTATTTGTTATATCAGCATGTCATTCACCGCATGATATCAATGGTGAACCATTGTTAATGAGTGTAATTGTTTTGTTTTGTTATTTTTTAGTTCATTTCAACTTTTACGTGTCATATTAAATTGAAAATTTTTTCATAGTATTAAGAATTGTGTTTACATGAATTAAGCGCTATTGGCGAAGAGGAATACATGCTTCGCAATCAACCCATTCATTCTAGTGAACATAAGATATCTAAAACAGATTCATTTGATTTCTTTACTTGGAAAGATTGTTTACATCAGACAAACTAAGCTGAGGGTGACTATTGAGAAATAAGAAAAAAAAGCATTTTCTCGAGCTTCTCATCTTAGTTTATAAGATTCCTTAAGAATGCACACCCATGACTTCACAAAGAACGGAATAAATCCAGGAGCTTCAATGTATTGCTTCAAGTGTGCTATTTTCGGCTGGGGGACGTTGGATCCCTAGAACACACCTGAAAAGGTCTTAATTTTGGATTCTTGCGTTTTCGCTCATGGGATGCTCAGTTGACCTTGAGATCTCATTTCCTACTCGGCAAATCGTCAGCTGTTATTGGTTGATGTATTATTTTAGTACGCTATTGTTGTGGCTCTTCCAAGGACATTTACATCATGTATAAATAAACTCGATTCATGCGCTTGTCAACCTCACATTTTCTGGGTGCTTTTGGAATGCACTTTCTATGCCTTATCAAGACTTCTTCCTATAGTTAG